GCGTATGCTCATGAACATCAATGGTCATATAATGGATGAACGATATCGTGATACTAATGGTCGGACTGTTCTCCATTGTGCTGTTAGACACATAGATGTTGTAAAGTACCTCATTAATGAGTGTAACTGTGATATAATGACCACTGATAAGGATGGACAAACACCTCTTCATGTTGCTGCCACATGTAGTACACATGAAGTTATTGAATTATTACTATCAACTGGTAATTTTGATCCATTGGCTAAAGACGATGAAGGGAAGACACCATTACAACTAGTTAAAGAGAGAAGGTATGATAGTGATACTGTCATTGCTATTTTTAAGAAGTTTGGTGACATTAAAATATCTCATCCCATTGATTCTTATGTTAACGTTCTCCTTGTGGGTAATCCTGGAGCTGGTAAAAGCACTCTTAGTCATGTCATCAATGACACAGCTACTGGCCCTTTTGTTCTTGGTTCCTTTAGAAATGTTGCAGGGGTAGTGCCCTGTACTGCTGGTGTCATTCCTTATAAAATACAACACAAGACACTGGGCAACATCATTCTTCATGATTTTGCTGGTCATTCAGAATACTACTCCAGTCACAGTGCTGTCATTGAGAATCTGTTGCAAGGTTCTGGTGGTGTGTTCCTGATAGTAGTCAATTTATTAGAGAAGGAAGCAGTCAAACAGCTACATCAGTGGCTAACAGTTGTGAGAATTGAAGCACAAAAAGCTCTTAATCAATGCCATGTAATTGTAATAGTCAGTCATGTGGATGAGATTAATAATTCTGTTAAAAGGAGAAAGGAAGAAATACAGGAGATTACTGTAAGGGAAAGGTGTGATAGTGTCTTTTTAGATTGTCGTAAGCTTGGTGGGAGTGGTGTGGATTCCTTCTTTAATAAGTTGTCTAGTCTCTGTGAGTCCGTTCGTAGTACAAGTGGAAGGAATAAATTCAGTCTTTATCATCATGAAATGTACCGACTACTGGTGGAAAAGAAAAAGAATATACTGACCTCCACTGATGTAATGTCTGCTGGTCAGGACAATTACGTTATACCAGATAGGAAAGAAGATGTCTTGGATGTTCTTCATTTGTTGCAGTCAACTGGTTTGATCAGTGTTCTTAAAAGTGAAGAAAAGGTATGGGTTGTTGTGAATAAGGGTATACTACTAACTGAGGTGAATGGGATTCTCTTTGCTCCAGAGACATTCAAAGAACACGTTGACATTGCTAGCAATACTGGTATTGTTAGTGTGTCTGATCTGACTAGACTCTTCTCTGATTATCATCCTGGCATGTTGATCCATTTCCTGATGAAAATGGAACTCTGTCAAGAATTGGATCCATCTTTCCTAAGAATGACAAACC